TACAATGGGAAGGTATTAGCACCCAATGTATCTATAGTACTCTATAGGAACCTTTTGAAATATCTGTTTATTAAAATGTTCGTTTGATTTAAAAAATAAATTGTTTTGGCCGAAAAGGGGTACGGACGGGTTTTTGAAGGTACGACGACCTAATGTCGAAGTTTTGGCTTAAAAGGTATAAGTTTTGAAAAGATTGAATATTCGGGGAAAAATTGTCTTAAGTTTTAATGGAATGCAAAATATTCGCGTGATCGGACTTGAGGACATGAAGTCAACAAATTTAATCGTTTTTCCCTTGGATTTAGAAGTAAACAGAATAATCATGTAAATACTGAATAATCAAACAGACAATTATGTGGATAATGACTAAATAGCTAAGTGATATGTGAACATATATTTTTATATTTTTGTTTAACTATTAATTAAAGCGAGGGAATTAATTTAAGAAAATAAAATGTTTTTAATTTTTTATGTTTTTTATGTTATATGTTTCTATTTTTATATGTTTTTTCTTTTTTAATATGAAGTATTATTTTAATAGTTATTAAATAATTAAACTAAATTAAAACTTAAAATTATTAATTTAATCTAATTAAAAAAGGGGAATACTAAACTTATTAAATTAAACCTAAAGTTTAAACTAATAAAAAAAGATCAAATTATCTAAAATATTTTAATTAAATTAACATCTATTTGATTGACTTATAATTAAACTAAGTTAACAAAGTTCTAAAAAAACTAAAAAAAGATAAATAGAATGAGATGTCAAATTAAAGGGTTAGATAATGAACAAAAGTATGGGCCTAAGGGTTTTAAGGGGGCAAAAAATCAAAAATAAGCAGAAGCAAGATAGGGGGGTGGATAAGCAATTCGTTGGGCTTTTTAGGCAGGAAACGGGTTGAGGCCCAAGCACATCCATAATTTGTTTTAGGGTAAACATTGTTTGTTTAGTTTGGCTGAGAAAAGGATTAGGGATTTGGTTTACAGAGCGGCGCTTGTTCTCTCTTCTTCGTCTTGGTCTAAGCTCCTGGATTCCTTGCCCGAGCCACCAACATGTCCAAGCTTCTGACCTCCCTTTGCCTGAGTCACCAACGTCCCTTCTTCCCAAGTGTCGCTCCGTGAAACGGTGTAGAGGTGATGATTCGTCCTTACAGTGCATTAGGTTTTATGATTTTGTTGCATGTTTACGATTTGTGTTCATTTCGATTCTGACTTCGTTTTATATGATTTTCTGTTGAGATGATGAAAGAGAAAAAGGAAGCAACGAAACTACTTTTATGAAGGAGGAGTGAAGGGCGTTATGGAGGCTTGCTGGCGGAGGGGGAAACGCAGTGGGGCTGTGAACTTGGAGACCCTGGTTTGTCTTCTTTAATGTTTTTTTAGGGTTTCATGATGACAGTTGAAAACCCTTTTGCATGATATATTTTCTTCTTCTTCTTTTGCTTCGCTTCTGTACGCTTGAATTTGGTTGCCTGGATGTTTTGAATGTTGGTGGATGCCTTGTGTGTTGCCTTCGAATGCTGGAATGTTGCCTTCGTTAAGACACTTCTTTTCTTCTTCTCACTTTTGTTGCCCCTTTTTTTTTACTGGCCCATGATGATTATTTCTGAGGCTTTGATGCTTGACATTAGTTTGAGGTTTTTGGTTGCCTTACTGTTGGCTTTTGCTTTTGGTTGCCTTGAGTTTGAATCAGGTAAGGCCTGGACTATTATAGGTTTTAGGTGAATTTACTGGTTTTGGGTCTTTTAGGCCATTACAGGTTTTTAAACCAAGGTTTTGGTGAGGCTCGACCAGGTTTCGTTTAGGATGGTACAGGTTTTTGGCGTATGATGGTCATGCTTACTTATGTTTGAATGGCTTTGTAAATTGGCTTTGAGGTTTAGGTTGGACAGCAGGTAGTTACTGGTTTTCTTCAGGCCATGGTTTTTGATATATGGCTGGGGACAGTAGGTTGCCTTGTTTTAAGGCAGGTTCTTGAGGTGAGGTTTCAAGATAGCAGGTTCTATGGTTTAGGCTATATTGGTTTTATGCAGGTTATGTTTTATGGTTTTGGTTTGACAGTAGGTGGAAGGTTTTTGGCTTTGAGACCTTAAGAAAATGACTTTTTTTTTTGTTTTACAGTTTTTGAGTTTGGAAGGCTTTTTGAAAACAGGTTATGGACTCTTCTCCTCGTTATGAAGGGTTTTTGTAATGTTATAACAGTTTGGCCTTTTTCTTTTGAGGTTTACGTTACAGGTTGAATATATTTTGGTATTTTTTGCCTTTGACCTCTGCACATATGCTGCTACATCAGTTTGTTTTCTATCCCTTTTTCATGCTTATCTTTTCTCTACTGTATTGATGCTGATTTGTTTGCTATCCAATTCCTGCCTAAGCCAAAATCTGTAAAAACCAACTCTTCCTCTCTTCTCTCTCTTAAGTACCATTTGACATTAAAATGATGTGTACTTTATTTGTTCTGAAAAAGTAAAATGCTGGAAAATGATGAGAATAGAAAATATATTATGCTTGCATATTGGTTTAAACTGCATACTCTCTTTGTCTCTTGCATTTGTACAGTAGAGGAGCCTATTTTTTTGGCCTCTTCCCACATCTTTGCATGTTTACATTGGAATGGGCTTTGAACATTGCATATGCTGTTTTGTTTTCTTTGAAATATGCATTTGGTTTTTGAAATATGCAATTGACTTTTAATTATGCAGTTTTCAATAAAAATGCAATTTTGACAAAAAATGAATTTGTGCATATTTAAATTTGTGCATTCATTTTTATCAATAAAAATTCATCCCTTTTGTAAACCGGGAGAAATCCCGTGATTTGCAAAAAGGGTAAAAACTGATTACAGTCGTTTGCTTTTAATGATGAACGCTAATTAATTTTTTTGCTTTTAATTATCTATTTATTTCTGACTTTTTTTTCTTTAATTCTTTTGCAGGTAAAAATCAAATGATCATCAAAAGAAGTATTGGATAGAAGGTGAAGATTTAGAACTTAGGAAAAAAATAGGATAGCTTTTATTTCATTTTAAACATTGTAAAAATTATCGTTGTAAATACGTTGTAAATAACTACGGTATTTAAACAACAATTGTAACAATTAGAATAAAATGAATAAAATTCTATTATTTTCCAGTTAATTATTTTCTTCTTTCCAATTATTTATTTGATCATTTATAATTCTTTAAATTATATAATAACTGAAAATCCAATTCCAATTATTTAAATTTAGAATGATAAATAATTAAATAAATATCATTGATCAATTAACTTCTCTTCAATTAATTATTTCATTATTTATAATTCTTCTAAATTATAATAACTGAAAATAAAATTTCAATTATTTAAACCTAGAACAATAAATAATTAAAAAACATCGTTTGATCAATTAATAACCTTCTTTTCAAATATTTATTTTATTATTTATAAATCTTTAAATTATATAATAACTGAAAGGAAAATTCCAATTATTTAAATTTAAGATAATAAATAATTAATAAACATTGTCTGATCAATTAATATACCTCTTTTCAAATATTTACCTTATTATTTATAAATCTTTAAATTATATAATAACTGAAAAGAAAATTCCAATTATTTAAATTTAAGATAATAAATAATTAATAAATATTGTCTGATCAATTAATAAACTTAGCGTTCAAAAATAAACAGCTCTCGACTTGAAAAAGTTATGAATTTTAAAATCAATAGATCAAAACGCTTGCAATGTAATGATGCAGATGGGAGATGGTATCTTAGGTCAAAATTTGGGGTACAACAGATGCGAAGTTTTAAAGTCAGGAGAAGATATTATCAAAATATTGTAACGTCCTCGACTACCAGTTTATAATAATATGTAATTTTAAATTTATGTAGAACTATATATATGTAATTTCGATGAATTATGTTAATTCTTGTCTCAGAGATAAATTCGGATACGCATATTCGAAATAGACAATTAGTGACTTCAAATATGCATATGCCAAATCAATTTAATAAAAAATAAATTGTAGTGACTTCAGGTATGCACATCTAAATCCACCTACTTTTGACAAATATGATGCGTTCGAATATCAACGTCCAAAATTTAAAAAACAACAAAGTAGAAAAAGAAATTCTCAATATGTAATTGCTTTTAAATTTTGCCAAAAAACTAGAATTCCTAGTAACTCCATAAAATTCGTACCATATGCCAAACAATTAGCCCTAGTACCCTAGTTAATTATGCCAAACATTAAGCCCTAGTACCCTAGTTAATTTTTCATTCACAAGGCAGGTACTAGCATAATTGTGGGGTCATTGGAATTAAAGAAGAAGTGGCCAAGTTGGAAAGGGTAGGTGAAGAAAATCAGTTAGTAACATATAGGACAAAAGTTAAAGGTGTTGGAAAGGACGGATTTGAAACCCACTAACGAATGCCCAATGACTCTGGTCGATGCAGAATACAAATTAGTACTATAAAAATCGTACCAAACCAAAGGACAGAGAAGAAACTTGCAAAGAATAAGCCTAGTGAGTAATGAGTACACCAGCAAACAACACATTGGTTGAATTCACAATACAAGACACCTAATAATAACAAGCAATGCCAAATATTTTTCTATCATTTGTTTTTAGGAACATTGTCAGCAACTTCCTCAAACAAAACCATGGGTCCGACTCCTGAGAGTGGCCTAGGTCAGTTCATACAAAAACATGTGTTTTAAATTGAGACCATCTAGAAAATCCAAACCAAAACCTTAAATTACATTATAGATTCATTATTCATAAATTGAAGAGTAATTCCATATGATGTCAAGTGTATTGTTTAAATTTAATTTCAACAAAACTTTTCATTACATAGCACAAAACATTTTTAAAGGAAAAGAATAGAAAAGACTCTAGTTATACTCACTGACTACCCTCTTTTTTCTCTGCCTCATGGAATCACCAAAAGACTATCATCATTCATCACCATCATATTAAACTGAATGAAATTAAGTTCTGACATAATGACAACTCACATCACATGACATTGCAAGCATTAGGATTCTCATCACTGAACATTTGTGGTGGTTGAGTATTCATATGAATATGTAACAGATTTTGGTAAATTTGTTCATTATATCCCTCATAGTTTCCATTTCCATAACCATAATATCCAAAAGGCTGTTGAATCATATACTCCATTTTCTTAACTTCTCCTTCCTTGTTATTATTATTCTCTCCCCCCTCTCCTCCATCACCACCTCCACCACCACCACCACCACCACCACCACCCTTGTTCTTTTTCTTCCCTCCTCCACCTCCACCACCTCCTTCTTTCTCACCACCACCACCACCTTCCTTGTCTTTCTTAGGAGGGACAACCTCAACTTTTCTCTTAAGCTTCTCTTGCAAATTCTCAACCAACTTTTTCACATCCATTGTTCCCTTTACAGTCACACTATCCTTCTCCTTATCAATAGCCATTTCAAGCACTCCTACATTCATCAAAACAACATTTCTCCAAATCAAATTCACCAAATCATACAAAAACATTTAACCGAAAGAAAAAAAAAAAAACACCCACCTTTTGTTTTCAACACAATCTTGCCAATTTTGTCAATACATCCTTGGCAGTGCAGCAACATTTTCAACACAGAAGTAGTAACCGACTGTTACATTACATTAAACATAAAATAAATCAGAATCATTAAAATGACAGTTACATGAAATAAAAATGATGGATGAAAACAAAAACAGAACCTCTTTATCTTTGGAATTTTTCTCCTCGGTCTTCTTTTTCTCGTCGGAATTATTGTTTGTTTCCGTTTCCTTCTTGTTCTCTTTCTTGGCCTGTGGAGAAACGAGTTCCACTTTCTTCTTTATCTTCTCCGCGAGATTGTCCCTCACTTTCACAGGGTCCACTTTTCCGACGACGGTGACTTTTCCGGTCTCACTATCTGCTTTCACAGACTCCACACCTGAAAACACAAACACGCTTGTCAAATTTCAACGCTTTGAAGATACATAAAAATAAAAAAAAACCAGATCAGGTTTTGTCTCACTGGTAGCATAAGAAAACAGAGCGTAAGAAAAATGAAACCTTTGATGGAACGAAGGTGTTTGATGATTTTGGAAGCGCAACCGTCACAATGCATAGAAACTTTCAACACCGTATTGTTGTTGTTGTTGTTGTTGTTGTTCTTGTTATCGTCATTGTTTTCTCCATTTTCCTTTCCTCCATTGTTGTTGTTTTCTCCATTTTCCTTTGTTGCTCCATTGCTGTTGTTGTTTCCTCCATTTCCCTTATTTTTCTTTTTCTGTAACAAACAACAAAAAGGAAGGGTTAGCATTTCAATACATAAAAAACAGAAAGAAAGAAAGAAAAAGAAACTGATAGTGATAGTGAATGAGTAATAATTACCGCCATTGTTGGAGGAAGAAGAAAGAGTGTGATTTGGTAACTGTTATAGTGTGAGTGTGAGTAACGCTTAGTACATAAATAGTGGCAAAAGATGAACATGCTGCGTGTATTTCTTGTGGAAAACAAATGGGCCCACACGCCATTAACTAGTGTACTAACCTTTTTTTTTCATCTTTCTTCAAAAGCACCTTTGGTATAAAGGCTAATATTAAAAACTCATAATTGTAATATTTATTTAATTAATTTAATTTAATACAATTTTTTTTTTTTTTTGAGTTTGATGTGTTGTTAGGATATAAATTAATAAGAAAATTTGTTTTAATGTTTATTAAGTTTATGATTATGTTGATTTGACCAAAGAGCAAGAAACTTCTTGGCTCTTGTAGTTAGGTAGAAAATAAGGGTATTTTGTTGTGTTCTTCTTCTCATCTAACCGTCTAACTTCAATTGGATTGGACCTCTACTGGCATGTTTGGTTTATTTGCAGATAAGGCCAATTTGGTTTTTATCTTTTGCTTTTTCTTACTTTTTTTTTTTGAGAGATGCTTCCCTCTATGGTTCCTAAATGTGTTAATTTAGTTTTTTTAATTAATCAATTTTTTTAGAAATTTTTCTTTTTGATCACTGAAAATTCAAAAATATATTTTCAATATATATTTTCGAACGTATTTTTTGAATTTGAGAAATTGAGTTATTTCGAATATGCATATTCGAAGAAAATTTTATTTTTCATTTTTAGAGAGATTTTGAATATGCATATATTCAATATTTCAAATTATTTTGATTTTTTTAAAAAAAATATTTATTTATAATATAATTTTAATATGATTAAATTAAATTATTATTAATAAAGAATAAGTTAAATTTATAATTGAAAACTAAAGTAAATTTATGATATCAAATTAAATCATTAATACAATAATTAAATTTTTAATTAGGGTTAATAGTCATTTATCTCTTACTCTTATTATATAGGTTATTATTGAAAAACTCCCCCGTAAAAATATTTTTTTTGCAAGAATTCCACTAACATTTAAAGATTCTCTCATTTTTTACCTTCGTCACATTCGGTCACTAAAAAAGCTGACGTGTCAATTTTTTTTGTTTTTTTATTGAGGTGGATGCCAAGTGGCTTTATTATTTTAATTTATTATTATTTTTAATGTCATGTTGGCATTTTATTTTTTATTCATTTTTGTTTTATGTTTGAAAATATTGTGAAATACTCAGAAAATTATGGAAAGTGGGAGTTGGACCCACGTCCTCCTCAATGCAGCACTAAGGCCTTATCACTGAGCTAGATAATTGTTCTTGTTATATGTACGTAGTTAATAGTACTTATAGCGTACTTCACTGTATTTAATTAATTAAATACAAAAATTATCTTTTTAATACAGTGTGAACTAGAACATGAAATATTCTTCCACCTAATGTCTGCGTAGGAGTTTCTGTGATAATTAACATCCCAAAATCTTATGGTATCCGTCTCTCAGTAATTTGTTTTGCTTTGAGTGAGCCCATTACAAAATTTATTTTCCCATTCACACTTAGCATTGTCATTTTCCATCACCCCCAATAGAAGACAATTCAAGTCATATTAAGGAAATAGATTATTCTAAAAAATAGGAAGGGGGATAGTAGATGCCAGAAAAAATTATTGTAGATTTCTGTTGGTGAAAATACAAATAAATCAATTTGGGTATAAAAAGGAAGTAAGAAATCTTTCATGAAAATCCTCTCTTTTTGTCGGTTCTTCCCACCAACCTCTCTTCTTATTCGTCCTCAGTTTCTTACTGGAGGTATCATCTTAAGTGCCGCAAAATTGAGTATAATGTTTCCAACTAATGGACATATCTTTCCTCACGCGTCTCTCATCCATAATATGTCTTACTTCTTCAACCAATCCTCATTTCAGAAGTGCAGCATATATACTAGAAAGTTCTACATAAGCGATAGAAGATTGAGGTTGTCGTTTAATAAGGAACTTAGTTACTTCTCTTTTGATTCTTAGACTTTCGTTCAATCTACATACACCAAGCAAATAATATCAAAAATGGTCCCCTAGTTTATAATCCATCATGAATAGATCCTTCTTCGACTAGTTAAAACATCCAGATCGACCAAAAAGATCAATTAGGAGTGCATATTGTTCTAGGTCAGGGACAACACCATGCTCGATATTCATTGACTTGAAAAATTGAAGCCCTTCATGAACAAGGCATATAATAAGAAAAATATAGTGAAGTACGCTATAAGTACTATTAACTACATACATATAACAAGAATAATTATCTAGTTCAGTGGTAAGGCCTTAGTGTTGCATTGAGGAGGATGGGTTCAACCGCCACTTCCCATAATTTTTTGAGTATTTCACAATATTTTCAAACATAAAACAAAAATGAATAAAAATAAAATGCCAACATGGCATTAAAAATAATAATAAATTAAAATAATAAAGCCACTTGGCATCCACCTCAATAAAAAAAACTAACGCGTCAGCTTTTTTGGTGACTGGATGTGATGAAGATAAAAAATGAGAGAATCTTCAAATGTTAAGGGAATTCTTGCAAAAAAAGTTTTACGGGGACGTTTTTCGATAATGACATATATGGCTGGCGGTAAATGACTATTAACCCTTCTAATTATAATGGTAAAATGTAACAATTGATATATTTTATAACAAAATAAAATGTAACTAAATAATCTTGGTGATGTAGACTTTGCGTTATTGCGTCCCTGACATTTATGTGATCTAACGTAAAAAACTCAGTTTTCTTGAAAAAACGACTCTGAATTAAAATTTTACCGTGTCAATTCATCCGAAAAAATCAAGGATCAAAGTCTCCTATTTTGGGATAACCCACCCTAAAAACCCTAAATTCCTTTTTTTTCTATTTTATTTGATTTATTTTCCGTTTTCATATTTTCGAAAAAGTATAAAAAAATTTATAGACACTTAATTTAATTTAATTTGATTTTTAGTTGTATTTTTAAATTTTTATAACAGAGTAAAATTCGGAAATGCATATCCAAAACCATTTTTTTCGTAAAAAATAAGGTTTTTTCAAAGATGCATATCCGAACTCACCTCATTTTATTGTAAAATTCGGATATGTATTATCCGAAACTATTTTTTTCGTAAAAAATGAGGTGTATTCGGATATGCATATCTGAAACCACTTTTTTTTGTAAAAAAATGAGGTCCTTTCAGATATGCATATCCGAATTCTAAGGGTATTTTGAGTTTTTTGTCAGAGGTCTGAAAAAAGAGTATTAAATGTGAAAAGAAATTCTCTTTTTCTAAACCTAGGCCAATAATGTATTAAAAAGAAAAGATCAAACACAAATAGAGAGGAGTAAAAACCAAAGCCCCTATGAAATCTTATATCTACAACTAACAATGTCATGCATATTAAAAAATATTATCTAGATAAGATTATGGAGATTATCGAAGCAATTGAATACTCTAGGTTTGAAACCAAAACTAGCAAGCTTCTCAGCACAACCATTCCCTTATTTAAACATGTGAGATATCATAAATTACATTAATTAAGTTATCAATATAGCCATTTAACCTTAAAGTGCCAAGGAATAAGATTGTGATTATAGAAGGCTTGAACTACTAGCAAGATGTCGGATTCAAGAAAAAAATGAGACATGTTATTAACTGAGTATATTTTTAGAGAAGCTACCTATATACTCAGTTAATGAGTTACAAAAAGATTTCACTATAAGCAGCTATAGAAGGGGTCCCAAAAGTCATGTCATATGAGTTTCCTTTGATTCATCCAAGAAGATGGGGTTGCCAAAGCACATATGCAATAGTGGAAGGATTAGGAGAGTGAAAATTAATTGATAAGGCTTTATTAATGGATAATTCCAACATAAGGACGCTTGAAATGGGAGGGGAAGTATTGCTAGCCATGTTATGGACGATGAAGGCGCTACAAGCAATCCAAGAATATTTAATGTTCTAAAATCTATAGTTATTTCTAGTTGACCAAATTCAATTTATGATGTGGATGGTGGCAACAAAAATCACAACTTGACAGTTCATGGACTAAGGCATGTCGATAATGTTCAAACTGATATCCATGGAAAAAATCTAGGGATGAATGTTGATAATAGACGTAAACTAGGACACAGTTAAGAAGCAAAGCAATAATTAAATAGAATATGATAAGTTTTTTAATTATTATTGCAACAAAAAGAACACGTGACAGGAGTTTTGCAACCTCTAATAATTAAGTTTTCATCAATTTAGAGCTTATTAATAATGGACCTCTAGAAAAGCAAAGACTTGAAAGGAATGACACTAGGATTCCAAACTTGTTTATGCAAAGGAAAATGTTGGCTAGGTTTAGCAAAGAATCTAGAAGCTTCCTTCAGGGTCAAGCAACTAGTCTTGATATGTCTCCAACATTTTTAGTCATCCAAGACCTTAGTAGGAATGTGGAAGGTATTTATGGTATTGTAGAGGTTAGGAAAGGCCAATAAGATATCATGAGGAATATTCCAACTTCTATTTAGAATGAAATCACTCACCTTTTTAGACAAATAAACTTGGTCTAAAATGTTGATATTGAGAGTTTGAGATAGAGGAGGGTCACATCAAGCATCAATCCAAATATTAACTTGCTTTTTATCCCCAAGGATCCAGATTAGGTTTTCAACAATTATATGGAGGGAGATTTTAGAGGAATTCCAAAAAGAAGAAAAGATGTGATGCTTAATATATTTATCATTTCTCAAAGCTCTTTCCTTTAGCAAAGAGATCCAACTTTATTTTGATATGAGCAGATCCCAATAGATTTTGAGATTATATATTTAGTTAATAGTGGGTATGGATCTAAGGCCAAGCCCTCAAACTGCAAAAGGTGTACAACATTTCTACAAAACCACAGTTAAAATCTTATCATGCTCAATGTACCAACTCCAAATGAAGTTGTAGAGTTATATTTGTAAAGGACCTGGCGATGGAGGAAGCTTTGCAGTCCCAAGAGTGG